CACCCCGCCCCGCCCCTGGACGCTCCGCTCCTACAAAACGGATTCTTTTACTCTTTGGACCTGTATATAACGTTCCGTCTCCTCCCGCGGGCGAGAGAGGAGGCACCCCTTATGGGGAAAAAAAGAGGAGCAACGTAATTATATTTTATTTGGGCTGCCAATCAGGTAACGGGCTAATCCCCCCCCCCCCGTTATGGTGTCATTCCTTGCATGTTTCCCAAATGTATCTGGGGCGATTGAATTTTGTTGGATAAACTCGAGGAGGAAACTCCGTGACAATTGTTTTCAAGGGCGCCAAGGCCAAGATGTTCGATGGTGGGCCCTTTTTTGGCGCCTCTCTCATCTCAAACACCCGCGAGATCTAATTCTACCCCTCCTTTGTTGCAGACTTTGCCGAGAGCGATGCGGGCCAACCCTCCACTCAAGGTGAGTTGTTTGTCCAAGGTTGCTCAAGAAATGGTCGTGGTCGATCGTTTTGCGTGCGAACCAACCAGAATCCTGTTTTTGAGACGAGAAAATCTCTTCCTTTTAGAGACCAGTTTAAAAATCTTTGAAATCAATACTACATATTTGCATCTCCAAGTGTATTTGAAATTAATTCTGTGTCCATTTTTATTGTTTTTCTTTTCTTTTTTTAACCAAGGTAACTTTTCTTTCTGTTTCTTGCAGGTTACATCAAGATAAATTGCACCATTGTGTCTTGTTTCCAGTTTTTTCCTTGTTGGACTATGGTTTAATGTTTAATACTCATGCTCACGTGCAGGTTCTTTTACAGCTGACATCGGACGCACTGTGGACCCCCCGTTGATCTCCCCCCTCCCTTTTTTTCCCATTCGACTAACTATACGATGATAACTATCAAGCATGAGTAGCTTCGTTACGTTTGGACCGCTCATAACGGGTCGTTGGTGGACACAACGGCTCGAATGCGAGAGCAGACGAGGCTGGGAGAGCAGCGGTGGTCACAGGTTTATACACTACAATACAATGCACTGCGGGGAAGAGATCGGGTATTCGAACCAGAGGTTGTCACATACTGCACGAGGACACAAGGGCGTGGTGGAGCGTAGCTGAGCGCGGCACGGCGGCCCGCGTGACGTCTCTTTCCAAGGAACGGACTCACTTGCGTCACGACGGCGCGGGGCCCCTGCAGCCGGCGGCCAGGGCGCCCGGAGAAAGACAACGCACTTACTGCAGGTGTTTGCACTTGGTGTGTCCAGCACCGATCGTGCTGCAGGGCCCCGCCGAGTGTCCACCGCCTGATGTGAGTTCACCGCGTGACGACCCCGTGTCCACGCCGTGTCGTGTCCACCCCGTACGCCCTGTTTCCGCCCCGTGTACCCCACCCCCACCCCCGTCGCCACCCTGTTTCCGCCCAGTGTCCACCCTATCCACCGTCCCGTTTCCACTCCGTGTCCGCTCAGTTTCCGTCCCGTTTCCGCCCCGTGTCCACCCTGCCCACCCCGTGCCTCACCTGTTGGGCGCAGGCCGCTGCCACCCGGCCCCGTGTCCGCTATGCGGAGCACACCCATCGGTACCGCTTTACTTTTATTGGGGCGGTTATTAAAGGGAGGGGCGGCCGGTCCCAGCGGGCCCAGCATTGCGCAGCGTTTCTCTTTTATTGCCCCAAAAACTCTTTTACCTTTTGGACCAAACCTAACAGGACAATGGCGCGCTGTCATAAAGGCCGTCCGTACGGTTATACCGTGCACAGTACACTCTTGCGCTTTCCGCTCGGAGGGAGTTATTTCTTATGCATAGGGCAGGAGCTCTCCGAGGGGTGGGGTGGGTGGGGGGAGGAATACCTGGAAATGGGAGGCTTTTACCCAGAACTCGGCGGGGAAGACTCCCGTCGGCTGTTCTGCTCTGCGATCGTGTTCCTCTCGCCTTCTGGATCACACTTTGCGGTACGCCCAGTGTACAGTAATGTTTCGCAGAGGCCTTTGTAGGTCGGTTTTGTTAATTGGCTCACCCTAAAATGTTGTCACGACGGAATTCACGAGGATTACATAGGGATTACACTCTCGCCTGTACACAGGATTACGCGAGTGGGGGCCCCCTTGAATTTAACAATACATCAACCAGGAATGGGCTATCACGAAACGACCAACCTTCTTACAACAGTTTATCACGACAAGTCTCTTTTTTCCCCCACGTAAATCCTGGTGGGAAATAGTACAAATATTTATTTTCCTCCTTCGACCTAACTGTGCATATACTCTCGATACAGTAGTGCAGTGAAAGGCCGCCGAACGGTAAATAAAGACACAAGCGGCCGCCCCTCCCCCGTCCACCCACCGGCCGCACGGTATTCGGCGGCAAGACCCTCGCGCAAAGGCGGTGGAGGTACAAAGTAAGCTGTAAATAATAACGCCGTCTAGCGGGGCGGTGGGGGGAGGGTGGGGGCGGGGACAGCCGGGCAAGCGGGCATGCATTGCCAAAAACCATAAACCGAGCCCTCAAGTCAAGGCTCCCCGGCGGCCTGCCGGCCTGATTTGCGTGCATTGTCTGTCCGAGCAGCAGCAGCAGCAGCAGCCGTAGTGTTTCCAATACACGCGGCCCCGCCGGGGAAGAAAATACCCGATAATTATTTTTATTTTGAAACTGTGTGTTCCGAGCGGAGCGCCGCCGCCGGCCGCTGCGTGCCGTGCAGGAGCGATCGGCCGGGCGGGGCAGCTGCTCCACGCGGTGCACCCGAAAGTGGAGTTAATTTGACTTGGTCAAGCTAGGCAGGCCCACGCCCCGACACGGGGCCCCGTTGGGACTGGACAGCAGAGAGTATGAGAAATACACGTGGTGGGGTTACTGTACCAGACCGGTCCGAGAAGGTGTTCACTACACAAAGAAAAACTTTGGTGTAATTCGTATTGCTCATCCACGTTTTCCAAAAAATAATTTTATTCTTCTGATGATTGTAGGTTTTGTTGTGTTGGCAGTTTACATTTTTTTGTAACTTATTTTATGACTTTTATTGTTTTAAAATTGTATATAATTCCGCAGCCATAGCTCTAAATTATAAAACCCAGAGTCCAGTTGATTCCTTTGCTTCATGTGCATTGGAATGAGTCAATTACGTACGTTACACTGTTTTCGACGGCTCACGGCTCCAAAGTACAGCATGCACGGGTGCGGGCGGTTTTGCCTATGCTTGGTGCCCCTTGCGAGTAGGCAACCCACCCGCATACGTGTACGAGAGTGCGCGGCGTGAATCAGCCAGTGCCGCTCGGGCACCACTCGAAGTGCGACCTGGCTGCCGCCTACCTCTGAGGCGGGGGCCGGGAAATAAATGCCGTGCCCGGAGCGATAGCGGAGTGCAACGCTTCACTGACCGTAACTTTGCTTATTCGGTATATCGGATTAGGCTTGTTAAGAAAGAGTGTTAGTAAAAGTATATGCGTCGTTTTATTTTTCGGTACAGCTGTGGTAATGTACGTGGTGATAATACGTCGTGTGACGGAACAGCTAAAAGGACATCGGCCCAGGCACCCATGCCAAAGCGTTGCGCGGAGATCACAGATTTTCTGTATTAAATTCGGTTTGTTAGTTTAGGTTTGCTTGCTTCTACAGGGTGGGTGATCCGCGCCGTGTTTTTTTTCTGCTTATACTGTACCGGGATTCATGCGTGCGGGCGGGCTTGCCTATCGTCGCTCGCCATGGCGCCTTACGGCCCCGTGCGAGTATGCAACCCGTCTTCACGCATGAATGCGGTACAGTATAAGCAGAAAAAAAACACGGCGCGGATCACCCACCCTGTATTTGACAATACCATTACTGATTTGGCGCCTTCGCCTGCGACGTGCACCACGCTGCGCCGCAGTTCAAGCGTTCTTCCCGCGCCCCCTGCCCGGAGCGCCGCAGTCCGGGCACGGCATTTATTTCCCGGCCCCCGCCCCACAGGCGTGCGGCACCGAAGTAGCTCCGCACTTCGGGTTGTGCCACCGGTCCTTAGTCGCGGCGTGTCGGGAGATGACCGAACGTGGGGGGGAGGATGGGGGGACGGGGACATCATCGCCCCGCGGCCGCCGCCGCCGCCGCCAATACGCCTTATTCCTTATTCCCCCTTTCCTTCAATCTGTATTCTCTTTAATTGCGCGGTCACCCAGGGCGGTGTGCCTGGTGGCTCTGATGGTTCGCGCGTGCACTTTGGATTGACTGAGACAGCAATGTCGCGGGTTCAAATACTGGCACTAACAAAGAGGGAGTTTGCGCGTTAACCACCTTAGCCACCAGGCATACCGCTTTATCCCCTCTTTACACACTAAACCCTTATGCATCCCTTGCACATTTTTAACATTTTTATTTTACAAAAATTTAGCAGATGGAACTCTTTACTGACTGCATATGCACAATTTTTTAAACGTCAATGGGTACCGTGACTAACAGCGCTATCGTCCATATCTTCATTTCGCACTTCTTTTGCTTGTACATGGAATTATGACTTACCCTTGTCTGGTCTTTTCTGTCGAATAAAATGTCGCGCACATTGCAGTGGGTTTTGCACATCACTACTTAAGTCTGATCTTAAATCAAGTACACTAGACTGATATTCGAGTCCCCATTTTATGTGCTGATAAACAATGTCCCGTTGAAAAATCAAAAATCCGAACAAAAATCTATCGAATGCTGCGTACTCATCGGAGCGACTTTTCGGTTGGGCCCTCGGCAGGTCACATGGTCACATGCGCAACGTCTCAGTGGGGCGTGGAACGAGAGAGAAAAGGGAAGAGGGGGAAAAAATGGAGATCCAAAGAAAAGCGGGTCTGCAAAGAGAGAGAAGAACATTATGAATAGCGGGCCACTCGGTCATCGTCGGCGGTCCTGATTTCGCAATGCAAATTTTTCGTCGGTCGAGAAGAATCGAATGGATCGAGAGTTATTCCGTTTTTCGGTCGTGCAAATCCAAAAACCTTTCGCGCGCGCTCACGCGCACACAGACACGCGCGCATACACGGTAAGAAGTAGAACAGCGGGCGGGTGAGCGTGAAAAAAAATTAACAAGTTGATCAGTTCAACAAGTTAAACTGGTGACGCATCG